ATAATAATAATAATAATAATAATAATAATAATAATAATAATAATAATAATAATAATAATGAAAGTTGGGACAAGACAAATTGCAATTTTCTCAAGCACTGCGTGTTTTCTAGCAAGTTCTAAACATCTACGAGTAAGAAAAAAAATAGGAGAGAGATGTATGTATGAAGTATTGAACACATCCTATTTTAGGTATGGTGCGAAAAAAAAGTATAATTATGCAATAATAATAAGAAGAAAAAAAAAGAAAACATGCCTGCTACTATTAATAAGAATGAAGATTATAATTGTTTTTGTGCTTATATGTCAATATGATATATTTTTTTCTTTTTTCACTAAAACAATATAGACCTAGGTCCTGAAAAAGAACAATTTAATTCATGACTTTAAACTAATTTAATTTACTTTACGTATATTTGGATTCCTTTTTTTTTATTCCGCTGTTAAGCAACGTCAGAAAGTCCAAATCTCACATGCTCGTATTTCTGTAAGCCTAAAGAGGCCACAAAATCAATGCAGATGTCAATAAAGCCTTTTTCATTTAACTTAATTTGTCGCACTTAAGTTTTAGAGCTTTGTACACTGAATTTAATCCATATCCATATATAACAGCGTGTAATTTCACTATTGATCTGCCTCTTTTTTTTTTTTTTTTTTTAAATCATGGTTTAACAGTAGAAATAAGATAAAATGAAGAGAAATTCGCCATATATGTTAAAAAAAAATCAAAAATATTGCGTTTTTGAGAAAAGAAAAAAAGAAAGAAATTAAGCCAGTTCCTGGTAAGTGTGACTCAAAGACCACGTGATCAGCGTGCTCCTATAAATACCATTTGAAAGCAAAGGGTGATAGTATGACAGTCCGGCTGGATACCTTCCCAATCTCGAGTGTAAAACCTGGTTAGGAAAGTCATTTGGATACACAGAAGTTCTTCGCATCTGAAGAAAACTTGCGGTGACTATATCTTTGGCTGACTTTTTATTTTATTTATGCGCTTGCCTCCGATTTCTCATTTTTTCCTTTTATAAACCAGCCTTGGATGCTAAAGAGACCTCGACATCCCTAGGTTTTAATTAGTTCTCTGTTTCTTTTCTGCTGTAAGAATGTGTGCATTGACCAGTTTGCGATAACACTCCCCTAAAAAGAGATTGTTGAGAGGGAGAAAGGGAGGGGGTGTGAGCTCCCTTTGCGCTCCAAGGGAAGAAGAAAAGGGAAGAAATCTTGGAAAGAGTGATCGAGCCTCCGAGGATGACTTTAGGGACGGATATGTCCGACAGCTCTGCTTTGTCCGAAGATGTAGACATTGATGTGGTCGGCGGGGACATATCCGTTGGAAGAGATGGGAAATACCTTCAGCACGAGTTTAACTTGGACAATGACTCGGACGATAATTACTCGCAGAGCGCAGCAGAGAGGGCTTCCTCTCCGGGGCTCAGCAGCTCTGACTGCCCCTCCAGCGCGGAGCCTGGGACCGTCATTGGGGACAAACCCAGAAAAAGCGCACTTGTGAAGCCTCCCTACTCTTACATCGCTCTGATCACCATGGCCATCCTGCAGAGCCCAAAGAAACGCCTCACCCTCAGCGAGATCTGTGAGTTTAT